TATCCAAACTTCCTGTTTATTCATGTTATTTAAAGTTTTTCTTAATCCCTATTTACACTACCATATTGTCGTATCCGAACTTACTGTCTATTTTGCCATTTTATTATTTCTACATATTTATCCCTGATTGCATAAACAATTATTCGTCACATTAGTAATGATCCCACTAGATTTTTTATCCAAACATCCTTTCGACTTTTATTATTTCTACATTTCTAACCCCTAATTACACAATACGTCAATCTTCTCAGTAATTATGATACTACTTTGTTTGAGTTTCTATTCCGTCCCCCTATTTATTATGGCATTTTAATTTCTAATTGTAATTTTACTAATTTGATCATTGACCGGAAATTATTCTGGAACTTTCTCACCCATTTATTATAAATACATGAATGTACAGCCTAGTTGATGACTTCGTCAAAAAGAAAATGTTCTTCCTATGATCCAGTGTGTATATTCCGTGATTCTTATTGAGTCTTGAATGTGTACTCTTATACAGCCTTTAGTAAATATGAAGCTGTTTTCTGACTTGATTTCCAATGGTTCACTATCTGATAATGGAAATCTAACTTTCTCTTAACTACCACGTCTATTATATGTGTGGAGATCCACAGCACTTAATTAGCACAAGGAACTAGATTCGAATATTGCTGAACACTAATCTCAAGCCAATGGGTGCTGCTGAATGATTCAGAACCTTGGCACGTGAGTCACCAAAAGCAATTTGAAATAGGCTACTGAACACAACCATCAAAACTTACAACATTTGCTGCCTCTACACTTAAGATCATTTGGCTGCCTGGTATTAAATGATAACCATTAAGCAGCTCTGGCAAGCAGCGGAGCGATCATCACCCCATCCACCATAAAATATGCTAAAGAATATGGAAATTGACCAATTAGACATACACTTTTTTTTACTTAAGCTGGATTCCACACCGTACTTTTTGGTACAAGTATGGAATTTTCAGCATGGGTATCGGTAGCCCAAATTTTGCAGGCTGACCATTGATATCGGGCGTGCGTCAGCAGGGGATCGAACCCCGAACCATGTGAATCGTCGGCGAGAGTCCTAACTACTGTGCCACCGATCGCTGAGTGATATCACTCGATAAGTAGGCCCTCAGGGGAACCCGAACTGCCGGAGTGAGTAGAAAGTGTGACACGGAGGAAATTGTGTCAAGAAGAAATCACATCCTGTGTACAGTCTTGGAGTCAGGTGAAAAAGACAGCAGAGACTTAGCGCAAAACAGATATGCTACGGAAGGCCTATTCTCCATAAGAAAGAATAAAAATAGTTTATTGTAAACTGAGTCAATCCAGGTACACCAATTTTGAGTTCAAGCTGAGAAAAATTGAATCAGCCATTCGTTGTTTTGCTTGCTTTGGTCTACCTAGCAAGAGCTACTGTTTGACACGTGTGTGCGGCTTCCAACTACTCATTTAAATCTATCAGTAGTATATATCTGGATCTCATAAAGTTACTTTGAACATATATGTGTAAAACTTGGGCACTGTGGTAGTAAGTAATTCCATATTAGTTTGTTTATTAGATATATCACACAATGAAACAGTATTATTTACTGGATGACAAGGTTTCGAACAAAATTTATTGTTCATAATCACTTCATCAATTATAATCACACGACTTCGAAACTTAAGTTTTATAGTTTTCTTTTTTTTCTCCTATTTGTCGTAGGGGTAGTAGAATTTTCCAGATATCGGGGATAGGTGATGAATCATTCCTATTACATGTATTTGTAGTTGATTCGATAAACAAAGCTTCCGTTATTAATCTCTCCCAATACCCTGTTACATTAGATTTTAAAACTCATCTTATCCCATTCTATTGTATGGTTGTGTGTAACTGCAAGTAGTGCTATAGCTGAACTATTCTCTAGATTTCGTATCTTATTCGGGTCAACCAATCTAGATTTTGCTGCTAGGTTTTTATGTTCAGCTAGTCTGACTGCCCCTGTTCTACTAGTTTGACCTATGTATTTGACCTGACATTAGATAAACTAAATTGCTTTGTTTTAAAGGCTCCACAGGAATGATCCTCTAACCGACAAAGCTTGTTTCTATTTGAGTTTGTGGGTAAGTGAATGCCAGCCACTTTAGTTCCTGCCAGCATTGTTAAGAATTCTGCGTAAGTTTTACAAGGTTCCTTCCTTGTATGGAATTACTACTGGTGATTTAGATTCCTTATTGTTGGTGTTGTCATTATTATTATTATCACTATCGTTACTATCACTCTTTATTTTATTTTTACATTTCCTTACATATTTCCTGACCAATTTATCCGGGTTTATATTAAGTTTCAAAGCTTCTTTTATGTGCATCAGTTCCTGTTTTAGATTTTCCTTGGTACTACTTAGTTTCTGTGCTCTGTCACTTAAACATTTCACCAATCCTATTTTCACTGATGGGATGATCGGAAGTCCAAATATTTGTTTGAATGTGTGGGTTTCCTGTAAATACTAGCGTTTAACTTCTTATCTTCTTTCCTCTTTACGTTACAATCTAACATTGGGAACTCCCCTTCCTGATTTTCCAATTCATAAGTGAATTGAATTGCTTCAACCTTCGAGTTGATATGTTCGAAAAACCTATCTATATCTTGTGTTCTAAGTACAGTGAATGTGTCGTCTACGTACCTCCACCATACTTTTGGGGTGGGGGTGAACGTTTTAATCGCTATGCTTTCCCACTTATCCATGAATATATCTGCTACCACTGGGGATATTGGTGATCCCATGGCAACTCCCTCAGTTTGTTTGTATATTTTTCCCCGGAATTTAAATACAATGGAAGTTAGGCATAGTCGCATTTCCAGCATTATGTCCTCAAGTGGCACTTTCGTCCTACGTTCCAGGTCTTGGTTAGAAATGAGTTCGTTTCTGACCGTCTCTATAGCCATATTTATTAGTATACGTGTATATATAAACTGACAATGTCAAAACTAACCATTTTTTCTTCATTATCTGATTTTAAATTAACTAATCTATGTTTTAAATCATAAGAATTTGTTAGTCTAAATTTTGAGTGGCTTCTAACCACTATGGAGTTATACTCTACCACAGTGCCCAAGTTTTATACTTATATCAATAAGGCTTCTAAGGGGATTTAATACCACGGCTAAATATTTAGATAATTCATAAGTAGGTGAATTTCTAAAATCAACTATAGGTCTAATAGGGTATCCTGACTTATGAATTTTAACAACACCATTCATCCTACTGGGGTTATTAGTTTTGGGCATTAAATTAAACCACTTAGACTCACCTACCCCTACGACAAATAGGAGAAGACAAAGAAATCTATGAAACTCAAGTGTCAAAGTCGTGTGATTACAATTGATATGATTATGAACAATAAATTTTGTTCGAAACTTTTTCCAGTAAATAATACTGTTTCTTTGACTGTGTGATACATCTAATAAACAAACTAATATGGAGTTATTTTGAAAAGTTTACAAAATTATTTGAAATGAAAATTTTTTCCGGAAAATAATCGATTTGGTTAGCTGAAGTTTCGAAGAAATGTTGAGTATTTCATAACATGCAAACGTGTCCATTAAGATAATTGAAAAATATGAGTGTTCAGACAAAAACACGGGAATAGAACTAAACATCAAAACATTCTTCAATCACAAGGCAGAGTATTTATGCGCATTTTTCACTCACTAAACTATATTTGAAAAATCCGACATTGAAAAAAGAGCCCAAGTCCCACTCACACAACCAGATTACTGAAAATGTACTAAATTTGTATAGATGCACACGCAAACCCACCTTTCACCACAACATTCTGACGACATTTAAAAATATTTTCATCTATACTCAATAAAAAACAACAACAACAACAAAATATCGTAAAATAGCTTCTTCTAAAGTTAAATAATCTCTTTCTTATTCTCCACCTTCCTTGTCTTCCTCCTTCCTCATTACAAACGAAAAAAAAGCAATCAAAACAAAAACACACCTGACTAAACGGAACTAGCCAATCAGAAGGAAGCTTAAAAATGCCTGCCTGCTTTTCCTACCCAAATTAATCTGATTGGCTGTCTTTCAGATAGTATTGATCATTTGAAAGGGATAGTCACTTGTCATTATTGCTGTTACTACTATAATTGTTATATTATCAAAATTGCGTTCCCAACCTATTTACCTGGATATTTATTTAAACAGTAGGTGTGAGAATGTTAGTTCTTCCGACTTCATAGAAAGAAAGTATTAGATGAAGTAAACACGCGAAAAATGACCGAACTAATAAACCCACCGACAATATCTCCATTATGCATATCGTCTGATAAGCATTCTGTATGCAATCAAAGCAGCCAACATCTAATCAAGACATCTACATCATCACTGACAAATGATAGTCGAATTGACTCGGAAACCTATACCATTACAAAAATCTGTTTCGCACTGGCTTTATTCTCGACACTGTTGCATGTGCTGATATTTCTTTGCTTTCAGCGTATTCGACGCCTGTATGGTCTGTGCATAATGACATGCTGTCTATTCTATTCAGCCTCCTATCTAATGACTTTGATCACATGTTTTCTGCCCAAGAGTCATTTTACACACCTGATATTCAGTTATTTCGCCGACTACTGTATTCTGATAACAATGACAGTGAATCTGAAGTCGTCACTGGTGATCACCTACTCGTTGTGGAATGCAAAGAAGCGAAAAGACTGTTGTCCCGACGGCGGGTTATTACTATGCTCACTGTGCAATGAGAGCAGTGTCCTGGTGACTGACACTAAAAGATGCTGTCATGTGATCGGATATATTGTAATAATTGGTCTCCCGTTGATCGAGATCATCGTGAATATTGTCTTTTTCAAGTCGTCGCATTATATCACAGTGGATCATGAGGAGTTCTCTGATGTCTCGTGTAATCTCATCCCAAATTATGGACACTTCTATGTTTTTTTCCCATTATTATTTATTCTATTATTACTACAACTAGTGTGTATACTCGTTATCATGAAACTACTTCATGTTAGAAAACATCACACACGTGGTAATGATGATTCCGGTGGTATTGGTGGTGTTGGTGACAGTTCAACGCCTTCTGAAGACAATCATAACACTACTGATCGTGCCGCAACCGACACGAACGATAGCGGTGACGATGATGATGAGGATAATCTCTCCTTGTTATGGAAAACGACAAATATCAGTGCTAGATTTTGGATAACTGTAAAATTCACTATCACGCATACACTGGTCTGGATTATTGCATTTCTAGCATTGATACAAGCATCTATAGCACTATGGCATGTTTTCACTCTGTTGAATAGTCTACAGGCTATATACATTACTGTCAATTGTACATTCACACGACCTGTATTGGATTTGATTTATCAATGGAGAGAAGAGAAGCTTGATTATTATAAACATGAGCACAGTCTATACAGTGTTAATCATTTAATGAATACAAGCGGTCAAAATGAAGGTAAAAGGATTCGAAAGTAAACTGATTTAATTTTGTGTATTTGTATATACTACTTAAAAACCGTTATTTATCAGTAGTACTGTTGTTTACTTAATGTTGTACTTTATGTTTGGTTGTTTGTTTGTATAAGATAAATTTATAACTGTAACAGATGACTATTCTTTTTCATTCCGTGTATTTGTAGTCGAGGGAAAAGACTTCATTGGGAGGTATATCTGCATAGCTAACGTTTATCCTCTATCACTTTTAGCTGTATGATTCACTCGATTGTCTGTCATTCATGATTTCACTTTTTTTTCTACTCGAATGATTGCCTCTACATCATACTCATGGCTTTCCATTCATGTTCCAATCAAGGATCTTGTGTGTGGCATCACTGGAATGTCTCCTTGATGTTTAGGTCTGATATATCCATCCATCCATCTCCATTTCTTCCTGAACATTTTTCTGGCTCACATACTCACCGTCAGACTTTCTTGTTGTTTATCCTCACCTACTAGGCATCTGATTTTCAGTGTCGAGACAGCGATGGAGGTGTGCATCTTCAGTAGTCCTCTGAGATGCTATTGGCGATGAGTTGAACTGTTTTTAAATTTTTCATTTTTTTGTAAATATTCTACCTGCTTCAGAAATTCCCAGATTATAGTTAGGAATTTTGAATTATTGGTTTGCAGGGATTTTATTGGTTTCAAGTTAGATAACGGGACAGCATCAGTTAGAGAAATATTGTGTCGGGGACACAGAGGTTAGGATGCTCGCTGACCATGCACATGGTCCAGGGTTCGATCCCCGGCAACTGACACACTCCTTTACCTCGCTAAGCCAGAAATAAAGCTGGTAAAGAGGAAAGGTCGGGCGTGAGGTTATTTTATTTATTTATTTTTTTTATTTTGATTTACAGCTTCATTCCACACAGTATTTTCAGTACAAGTATGGAATTTTCAGCATGGATATCGGTAGCCCAAATTTTGCAGGCCGACCATAGATATCGGGTGTGCGTCGGCAGGGGATCGAACCTCTGACCATGTGCATGGTCGGCGAGAGTCCTAACCACTGTGCCACCGACGCACAGCCTCATCCTGTAAAAATAAACACTGCTACAGAAACTTCAAGCTTCTAGCTTGAAGCCCTATGTTCCACTGGAGGACGTGAAAGAATAAAAACAAGGCAACTACTGAAAGCTATCAAGAAGTACTGGACGTTTGTTTTATGCTAGTTTGAATGTTTATTACAGTTGTCATGGGTTCGCCTCATAACCTAAAGATCATGGGTTCGTTCACTGATATACTGTTCATGAGTATGCACTGACAAATAGTCAAAGACTAGAATGAAACAGCAGTCTAGTACTCCTTGATGAATTACAATGGCTCTCTAACTCCTGTTGTAACAACAGAAGGCAAGGGTCAGGCAACAGATCATTTATTAAGGAAATCAACGCATATTTATATATGTTTTCATGTACATTACTATGGATATGTAAACAAACAAACACAGTCTTCCAATTGTTGTTTCTCACGTAAAGTTAATCTTTCATCTATTTGTGACTGTTTCTTGAATGTCGAATCCTCTATATGTTAACTGCATCCGCCTACGCAAAGTATGCTGTGGTCGGTTTTGAATCAATCTTTGTTCACATTTTCTCACGACAAATCTTGGGAACGTAAATATTGACGTAAATTACTGTCTACCAATTTGGCTAGTAGATAGCTCTCACCACACTGTCAGTTCATGCACTGAGGAAGATCAAAAAACAGCGGTTGCAATTGCTGAATAGACGCAAAATTGACTTAATGCAGATGATTTTGAAACGGACAAAAAATAGTGGAAAGGACTTTGAATGTGTTTAAATGAGATCTATATCAGTGGTGTACAGACTCTTATAATATAACACTGGAGAACTTCGAATACTCACGCCATCCATATATAGTCGAGTACCTAGCAATTCAAAAACCTGACCTCCCCTGCCCAAATATAAGAGGTGTACTTTTCCTTGCCTTACGATAGCCAGGCTAATAGTCCCATCATAATTTTGTTATTTAATGTTCCATTTTTTTGTTAGTCAGTTTTCCTTCCTTGTAAAGATTTCTACTCCTCAGTTAAGATTAGTCAGCTAAAATTTTACATCTGTTGCATAAAACCAACTTCCGTTTCAATTTACCGATGTGCACTCTTGAAAAAGATCGACTCGTTGAAAGCTGGGCATGTAAAGCCGTCCAAAAATGATATTTTAGGCCGATCTTATGTGAAAGTGCTCTTCTCAATAACGTCTTCATGTGCAATATATGCTGTTACCAGTAAAAATTAATAAATCAGTGGAAATGAACATTGCAATAACACTGCGGTGGACTGTACTTTCAGGTTTTTCTTTCATTCCAAACATTCCAAGTGTGAAGTGTCAGTAGTGATGATGTTACGTTTCTTACTGGGCAAGGTTTTTAACCTTACAACCAACTTTCCTTCTTTACCAGGTTCACTACTGAGATCACTAAACTAAGTAAGGTTTAATAGTGCGTTAGGCGGAAATCAAATGGCAACCGTGAGTATGGTAGACAGTTACAAATCTTTAGCTAATACGTGAACTGAAATGATTTTTTTTTCATACGATAAAAACTGTGTCACTCGTCACTGAAGTTAAAATCCTGATCACAGATAGATCATCTTCATAACTATCTTCATTAAGAAACCGTCTGTTGCAGTGCTGCTGTCTCTGTCTGTCTGGATTCAACATAGAACTTGGCACCGAAGTGCAGAAGTTCGAGTTGTCACGTTCCAAATAGCACACAAAGGTAGACAAGAAGATGATGAGTGAAGAGAATCAATAGAGTTTTGACAAGTATAAGAGTGAAACAGAATGAGTAATGGTAGAAAGGAATATGAAAGATTACAGAGACTGAATACATCTGCGTAAGCCATTGACAACGATTTTGAGCCATGTCACCTATTGTTGTCTCCAGCCATTGATTCTTGGAGTCCCGAGGGCCCCAACCCGGAAGGAGTCTGCGTCTCCCTCCCTACCTGACTCAGTTTAACTGTCAAGGATTTCATGGATTGATGAGGCCATGTTTTTGTTTGGCCACCACTTACTCTTTTCCAACCTGCACCTATATCAGCTAGTAATGCAGTGCTGCTGACTTACACTAATTCCTGCTTATGACAATATAAATTTCTGGTGAACAGTTGAACTTTCAAGTGTTGATTCCAAGACGAACTTCACCTCAAACTGACATTTAACCACCAAGTTTTTGAATGACTGTTTCTTCCTAGTTTGGGACTCTTCAACCAAACCTGTGATCAAGGCCAAATACTTCAAGTTATACGGCATGAATATTACCAATCAGTCACCAGGAGTATGAACTATAAATTCTATCTCTTTCTGATATGATTATCTAGGAAGACAGGCACTCAGGACAAAATCTTCCAAGAATTTATTAAATCAGTTCAGATCGAAGGCGATGAGTTCAATGAGTTCCTCATCGAAAGAGCTCCACACTGATACATGTATGTAGCTTCACAGTAAAAATGTGCCAACCATGTCTTGATGTGTTTGTCAATAAGAGTTGTCGGTTTCAAGATACTACTAAGAATGAAGGTGTTTATAGAAAACCTACATCAACGGACCAGTACAAACATTTTCTCAGCTTTGTACCCTTGAAATACAAACGCAATCGAACAAAGTGCTTGGTCCACAGAGCAACAGAGAGTTTCTCGGACGAATGTCTTGACGGGGACCTTAATAATATTAAACGGTTGCTCAGTGAGAATAGTTATCCTGAAAATTTTACTGATAAGAATCTGAATCTGAAACCAAAGTAGCCCAAGTTACCAATAGTTCCTAAAATGGCCTTGTTTTTACAGATGCAGTTCCTAGGAGACAACACCAGTGAGATACTAACACAGCGCCTTAGAAATGCGGTAAAAAGAGCATTCTCTGCTGCTGAATTACGCTGTCTTCAAAACCATCCCTCTTCTGAGTTCGGGAATAAAAGAGAAACTGCCTAATTTCGCCTCTTCCATGTGCATCTACCAGTTTAACTGCTCCTGTGGAAAGAGCCAGTTACTTGCGTAGGCGTGTTTCTCGTCGAATTTCCGAACATCACCCTGTGTGCTTGGTTAAGTAAAGGACAAACAAAGTCTATTCGCAGAGCTATTCTATCTCATCTTGTGGAGACAGAACACAAGATTGACGTTAACCATGCTTCAGGTTCATTTACCGCATACCAACGAATCGTAATTTCGCCTTAAGAGTTCGATTACTAAACATTGCTGAGACTGGCTGTTTGGATCCATATTAATAAGCCTAATTTATGCATCCAAAAGAAGTTGGTTGGTTCTGACATTGTCCTTACCTTAGCCATCTAGGTTTGAATGATCCTGAATTTTTGTGAAATTTCCCTAATTTTAGTTGACATTCTATTCGCTATTATATCTTTATTATTATTATAATTTAAGCATCTTTAATGAACTGTGGTGATTCCATTGTGATCTTACTTTACGAATCGATATTATTTGAAAAACACTTCGCCTAGATTTCTACCTCGCTAGTTTTCTAGCCGGTTCCAAGCCCGGATAAAGAGAGAAGGTTGGGGCGTGGTGCTAGCAACTTCACCCCCAAAACTTAACCAAATTGCTACAGAAACTTCGACGTACAAATATATTAAAAATACTAGAAATTTATTAAAAATATTGTTATTAACTACTAATTTACAATATTCTGTGTATATAAACATATATATATAATTGTAGAGCCGGAAGAGGAATTTATCGAAAAGGATATTCTTTGCTCAATTATTTTATGTTTTATAGATGTCTGAATGAATATTTTTGCTAGAATGAAGTTAGTTGATTACGAAATTCAAGATAAGTCGATTTGTAGACGTTGGCAATAAGTTGTTACACAACATTTCGTAAAATAATAATAGTGATTAAGAATAACAGATGAATGAATTACGTAAGAAGACTGTGACACAAATGCGTTAACTGAACCAGCTAGAATAGTTAGTATTCATAATAAAAAGACAAC